CGTATAATATTTATTCCACTGTCAGTCTCCTAATACCCCCCCCCTTCAACTAAGCTAAGCTCTGCTGATAATACGGCAGAACTAACTTTAAATTTGAAGCCATCTGGAACAATCTATCTTTCCAGCCAGATGTTTAAGTGATCTATATTTTACATTAATTCCTAGCATGGTGGATAACTGCAATTTATAGGAGCAGAGCAAAGGGCTTGACTTAGTGACATATTACAAAAGGAAATTAATTATAGATAATAATTCCATAGCTTTCATTTCCATATACATTGAAGTGCTTTTGATCTTTTAGATGGAGGAAGTTCTCTGTTGTGGGAAGCAAAAGAATCACATTGCTCCCAGTGTGTGATAACACATTTTAGCACTCTTAATTATTAACATGAAATCCATTAAGAGTTAGTTAAGCCCAGACAGTATGTTGGCTGAACGAGTCACCAGAGAGTTAAAAACAAGGAAAGCTTTACAATACTTCTCACAGGTATTCCCCACCCCCACCAGAATAATAGGAACAACAGAGAGGAAATGATCTGAAGAGGGAGTGGAGAAAAAAATAATATGATGCATATACAAAACCAGGTTGAGAGAGAATCTTATTATTTTCCCTGCCTAGATAGGTATAGCTTGATGTGAAAGTGTGGGGGACAGGACTTCTGTTAGTATGCTTTTATTATGTTTTTATTATGTTTTATCATTGATGCTCTGTAATGTGTTTTTAATGTTGAACACCACCCTGGGATCTTTTGATAAAGGGTGGTATATAAATTGAAAAAACAACAACGTGGCCACCGATTACCACACTTGCCTTTGTGTGAGTCATACCTATTTGCTGATGTGGAATCAAACCAGTTTTGGCCTTGTGTGTGCATGCATCGAAAACTGGGTAGAAGCATCTTGGATATGGCTGGAGTGAATAATTTTGGGAATTTTAAGGCACTGTTTTGAAATCAGTAGGACTAGTCCCAGAAGCCACAACTGCACAGTACTACACAAATTTTGGGGTCTCTTAGAATTCCCAAGCAACACTGGTTATGAGGCTGCTATTAAGTAACAAATTATAGTTTTATTGCCATCCATGGGTGTTCTATCAACTACCAGCCCAGGAAAGCTTAGTGTTTCCTTACCAGCTGGGTCCAGCAGTTAACACAGGCCCACTGACATTTCACAAAATATGCATAGTCTAATGCCCCTGGAGGAATGAACACCTTTGCCTCCAAAGGAATCACTCCAAAGCACTCTTTAATCCATCTCCTTCTTGAACTGGAGCACAAGAAGCAGGGTGCTTTCAAATTATACTGAGGGAGGAAAATACTTGGGAAATGTTATGTATTGTAATGGAGGGAAAATGTCTTTTCAGAATTGACCATAGGGATATTGGACTGAGCAGATAACTTGACACTAGCCAAATAGTCCTGACTGGATGAAAAAGAGAAATTCCATCCTACTGGGCCTGTTTTAGAACATTTCCAAATATGTTCTAAACTTCACTTCAGATTGCTCACTTGGCTTCAGTCATCACTAACCATCATCCCTTGGGGTCACCTGCCAGGAATAAGTTGAAGCGTTTGAGAGTGATCCCAGAAATACATGTAGTTGCAGCAGTCGGACCTCTGCCAAATGGACTCTATACAATTTTCCCTAGGCAAAGCCCATTGGCCAAATCCAAAAGCAAAGTCACAAGCCATACTGGGGTCAAAAGCAAGGATCCAGGAAGCCAAGAGAACATAAAGTATGCCAGATAATGCAGAACAATCACTGGTTCTGCTAATTTATCTGAAAGCAAAAGCTGGGGTATAAGCAGTTATTTATTGGTTAGTGATTCAGCATCTCCATTTGCAGGGTGAGGGACAGGAGTGTACTGGTTTGTTCTAGAGTGGAAGATCTCAGCCCATTATACTGAGACAAGAAGCAATTTACTCAAACATGTTTGGAAGCTGCCTTGAAGATTTTAATGGTGGAAAAGTGGAAAATAAACCTATTACAGTTAGTAAATTGATTGTATATAGTACTAAAATGAATGGATATTCTTATAAAATATAATCTGCCACCTCCAGTAAACAAAGAGTCATATTTATATCAACTGACTGATTGACCAAACCATTTAAAATGTCAAGTAGTTAAGCAAATAACAGCTTCGATCCTATGCATTGCTTGAAAGTAAGACTCAATTGAGTTCAAGGGGATTTACCCCAGTAAGTATGCAGATTACAGCCTAACACCCTTTAATAGATCAATGGCCCTTCTACTAAAAGGTAAAGGTAAAGGACCCCTGGAGGGTTACGTCCAGTCAAAGGCGACTATGGAGTTGCAGCGCTCATCTCACTTTCAGGCCAAGGGAGCACCACAGACAGCTTTCCAGGTCATGTGGCCAGCATGACTAAACCACTTCTGGTGCAATGGAACACCATGATGGAAACCAGAGTGCATGGAAACGCCGTTTACCTTCCCGCCACAGCGGTACCTATTTATCTACTTGCACTGGTGTGCTTTCGAACTGCTAGGGACAGAGCAACAGGAGCTCACTCCGTTGTGCGGATTCGAACTGCCAACCTTCTGATCAGCAAGCCCAAGAAGCTCAGTGGTTTAAACCACAGCGCCACTCGCATCCCTTGGCCCTTCTACTATTACAGCATGAGCAACAGCAAACAAAGCACCAATGGTAACTCAAATTGCATTCTTGCTGAATGTTACAGCTACTGTGCCCATTTAATGCCAAAAGGATCTTGAATCACTGGAAAGAATTTTGAATGAGAAGAATTAGCCAGGCTGAACTATTTTATTTCAGTGTCTCTGGAAACGGTGCGTTACCTTTCTTAAGTCATGTGTTGGTACCAATATCGCTTTGTTCAGAACAGGATGTAGAACTGGAAAGACTGACATAATTAAGGATGTTTCCAGACGACCTGGTTTACTGAGCATTCATCCTTATTTGTCTACACAAAGCTTGCAGGAAAGTTAGATGATGTCAGCTATTTATTGGAGCACTCATTCTAATTTGTTTGCAAGGAGGCTATATGATGTTGTCTCAAGTGTATTAGCTCACTATTTCCAGCACATTCACTTGTCATGTTCATTATCATAAATAGTCTTATTTCATTATCATAAATAGTGGTGGTGAGACAGGTTGTGCAGGAACACCAAATCAACTTTAACTGTGAACCTGAATTTGCTGGTGTGTGGTTGAATTCCTCCCACTCAAATGTAGTGATTGCCTAGATTCTAAGAAGCACCCTTTGATACATTATGCACATTTAAAGCTAAAAGCGAACATTTGGACATCATGGGGCAACGTTTTCCAAATAATTGCAAATATAAATAGTAAAGAAGAAGACTAATTTAGCATAGTTTAATAGAGATGAAACTGTAGACAAGACACTTAATGACATGTACTGGAAGATGTTTAATTTAATGACAGCAAAATATATTACCTGTAAATTACTCTCAAGGGAGCAGTAACAGACAATAGATTGCTTAGGTCCTAAGCCCTAGGATAGAAAGCCTACAAAAATGAATTGCCCTTTTTATTTAAATAGTGCATGGTCTAGACAAAATGCAATGTAAGCATCCATCTCTAGCATAATTCTGCTCTCAATTATTCAAGGTAACACTTTGTTTCCATTAAGCCAATTATCACCAATGAAGAAATTAGGAGTGAACACTTGCTGACAGTATGATCCATTTACTGTTATTATGAAGTGATAAATACCCTGTGGTTTGTCTACCTTCATCTGTCTTTTAAAAGGGAGGTGGTTCTGGCATTTCAGAAATGCAGTCATGCTACCTTACATTTGGCATTTAAAGTGTGAGTGAGTGCCCAAAGGGGAGAAATTAAGTTACATCTTCATAGTTAAACATTTGATTCATCACAACAAATGTGTTACATATCTTTTCCCCCTTCCCTATAATGCACCACAAAACGTTATGTGAGAATTTCATTATTAAGGGAGCCATCCTGGGATCTCCCTGGGGGGCATTTGAGGGGGCTCTAGAGGCTGGAGATTTTCCACCAGCAAAGTGAAGCTCCGCCACTGCTAGAGTGCCATCAGTGGTACCAGGAGAGAACATGGATCCCTGGGATTTCAAATCCACTCTTTCCCCCCCAACATGCCCCCCAAAATGGACCCGGAGCTAGATCTGGAGTTCAGTGAGAGTCAGTGGGAGGAAGAAAAGGGAAAAGAGGCACCAGCACTACTAGTCCCATTCTTCCTGGCCTTAGTGGGCTCACAAGGCTGATAAGTGGTGGATCCTCTGACATGTTACTTCCAACTATCACCACCCCCACTAAAGGAATGCTCAGTTAGGCTGCAGTGCAGTCCTGTCTTCCTATGCAATGTTTGGTACTTCTGAGCAGACAAGCATAGGATTTGTGAATTCATGGTTAACAGACCCATCCAAAGCACACTGATATGGGAGTAAGTATAGCCATGGTCAATGGTTCTTCCTCCATAGAAGTGAGCATCATTCTGCAGCCTAAGCTTGGAATGATATGTGCACTCATGTGACAGGCTTACACTGAGACTTACTTTTGAATCAACATGAATAGGATTGTTCTGTAAGACTGTAACCCTAAATACACTTACATGGGGGTAAGTCACATTGAACACAGAAGAACTCACTTCTGAACATCTTTAGGATTGCATACTCATTGGAAGTACTTGGAAGTAAACTCCATTGCACATGGTTGAGCTTATTTCTGAGTGAACATACACAGGATTGTGCTGCAAGTGACTTCACAACAGATCTGGGTAATCATCAGAGCTTGGTGTGAGAACATCTGCTGACATCTCACCAAGAGTATTTTCAAAAGAATGCTAAGAATGCTTCATCATAGTCTGGAATGCAACACTTATGAAAGTTGTTACTGCATGGTAGAAAGCAGAATTGAATCATTTATAAATTGAATGTATATCCTAGCCAAAGTTGCTTTTTGCAGACCCAGGACATGGGTCACTTTTCAACTTGACCTAAGGACTGTTCCACACATGCATGTTCTCCCCTCAATGTTTCTATCACAGAACAACTTGCAATCCAATCTATTAACTGCCTCCAGTAAAAAATGGTGTGTTTCAAATCAAGTCAAATGGGATGCAAGCTCATCTCTGCTTCATCTGTGACAGGTGCTTCCAACACAGAGAAGCCATCGTCCCAGGCTGCATTCAAGGAACATGTGTCACCTAAGACCTTCTGAAGGTAGTTTGCATACTGTACAGTACTATCCACGTCGTATCACATTGTAGGTCTTTTGCTGGGAAAAGGATATTGCCTTGTCTCAGCATTCTTCCCCACCCAAGTGCCTTCATTCCTACAGGAAATGCTGTGTCTGTGTTTTAAGTAGCAATTCTCACCAAATACATAAACTGCTATAGTGACTCATTTGCAAGGAAGTACCCAGAGTGAAAACTTTTATATAAGTTAAATCCAATTACCTCTGCAGTCAGTTGCTGCCAATGGAATATTATAATATATATATATATATCTCCCCTGACTAGTGAGACTTGCATATGAGTTACTGTAGTGGTTTATGTATCTGTGAGGTTTATGTTGCTACTTAAAATAGTGTGTGTGTGTGTGTGTGTGTGTGTGTCTGTGTGTGATTTTTATATTATTTTATTTTCCCTAGGCTACACCTTGAGCCTCAGAAATAAGTGCTGCTTTATTTATTCCTTTGTTTTAGAGGTTGTTTCATTTTTACAAGCTGGGTCTGCTTTTCGTCTGGATATACAAATGGGCACCCTGCAAGCCAGATCCAATTCCCCACCCCTTGTGTAGGCAACAGAAGATGTACAACAGGTCTGATCTGGCACAATGCATATTCCTATGTTTTCTGTCTGTTTCAAAATGCTAGAGTGCAACTTGGTTTAACTAAAAGTGAAGAGCTCTGATGGATCACCCCTGGTTGCTTCCATCACAGCAGTGGCACACCCCTCCATTTCTTGCAGGTGGGCTGGTAAGTGGTGGCATAATGGATACAGAAGACAGGCAGGTGGGTGGTGCAGGTAAGTCGCATTATGATGCCGGTGTCACAAGGTAGCCTCATGGGTGACATATGGGGAGATGTAATCTGCCGCTTGAGGTGCATACCACATTCTGACTGAACCTGCTTGCAGCTTATCCATAGTGGAGCTGTGCATCTCAAAAGTAATATGTCTTTTAGTCTACAAAGAAAATCTGTTGAAGAGCAGGAGCGCCTGGACTTGCATAAATGCTTGGCGTGGTAGAAGACCCCCGTTTCACAGCTTTCGCTTAGAGTTCTCTAATTACGACTCTTCAAAATTCAAAAAGGTGCTGAGTAACTGGGTTGGGCACTAAAGCGAAATGAGAGTTGTGTATGCTGCCAAGTCTTTTCAGGAACTGGTCCAAAAGATGCAGAGTCATGCCAGGCTCACTCTTGTGTCAGAAGATGCTTCCATTTTGTATATTTCCCTGTGCTGCAGTTGATTAGCATGCCAAGATGTTAATCAGACTATTGCTGATTTAAGCCTTTTGACTCTGGTACCTTCTGTCACCTAACGGCAACCTTCCATCAGGCCACTGATCAGAGGGAGGAAGGGGAAGGGGAAACAGGGCTGTTTCATCACCTCTGTTGAGAGGACCAGCTTCCTTTGACTCTCTCCAACTGTCACCCACTGGCAGCTCCTTCATGAGCCTACTTGAACCTGTTTCCATCCCAACGGGTAATTACAAGAACTGTAACTTGAAGAACTGGTGCATGAAGTTGCTTTTTTCTCTCTCCTCCCCATCCCCTTTTCCATGTGTACCATGTCTTTTAGACTGCGATAGCAGCAAGACTATCTAACATGAGGTTGCTGCCTAAGGAGGAGTTGGCAGTCACCTGGCACCAGAGGTGCCAAAACGAGGTAGCACAATTGTGCTGGTGCTGGTTGTAAGCAACAGAATGAATATGAGAACTTATCAGTGTGATGCTGTAGGTCTGTCAGGTGGTAATGTAGTAGGATGTTTGCTAAAAGAGAAAGGAAAAAAAGGAAACCAGTGACTGCCTGCGATAATCTACAACCAAAGTTTTCTATTTCCATGGCACAAGCAAACACATAATTAAATGTGGTATTTATTAACTATAAATATCACATTTGTTTATAGAAGCTTGGGAAGTCCCCTTCCCTCTAGTTTTAAGTGTCCTGAAAGTGCTAACTTCTTACTTGCAACACTCCTGTTTCAAATGGACTTAATTTCTTCTGTTTGCATGATATCAAAGAACCAATGGTGCAGCAGGTGGAATAATTTAACAAAGGAGCATCCATGTCAGCACCCAAGCATTGAAGTTGCTTTGGGCAACCCATTCCAAGGCAGCCATGGTGTCCAAAGTGAGACTGGCAATACATGCTTTCTGGGGAGTAAGTCCTATTGAAAACAATGGGGCCTCCTTCTGAGGAGATGTGGAAAAGATTGCACTGTTAGTGGTTCTGTTGCCCCTGAATTTCAGCCTAGTTCCATCACAGGAGTCAGAGTTTCTAACTCAAATGTTTTGCTCTTCAAAACCTTTTTAAAAATTAGAATAGGTGGAGTGCACAGCTTCTGCTGAAAAGCTGGTTGACTATGCCAAGACGCAGGATACAAAGTCCTTTTGTCTAAATGCCTGTGATTCGGCACTTCCACTGCTATTACAGTCATTGCCTTCAGGGTCAAACAAGGAAGGAAACAGTTGTACTCTCAGATAAATGAAAAGGTTTCACAGAAACTCGTTACAGCAAATTTGATGGTTATCATAGATTGTTCAAAGCAAGAGTTGGGTTGTTTCTCCCTCTTGTAGTTTCAATGGTCAGAATACCAAAAGGGTTTTCATGGATGGAAAACACGTACCAAAGGAAATAAAAGCTGAAGTCCATATAACTTTGAGGGGTGACACAATGATGTAGTGGGGGCATTTGAAAGTGTCCTCCCCATGCTCAGTACAAATCTAACCGTTTCTGTTTGTCTCAGGCGAAACTAGTTTTGAAGTCTCCAGTTTGAATAAGCAAAAAACTGACTACTGAGGGTACCTGTTGGCTAACATGTGTAACATCACCAACTCTCCTCCCCCCAATTCCTGGAGCATTCTGATTGTTTTTAAAATATCTGGGTATTGTTGTTTTCAGTAAAGTGAAAAATGGAGGTATAAATTAATAAATGTGCAGAAAGAAAGATGAAGAGCTTATCAGGCATTTTTTTAAAGATTGAAATACAAGTTTTCCAGTACACCAGATACACACAATAGTTGCTTTAAAAAATAATAATGTATGTGCCAACAGCAGCTCACTGAGGAGTGCATATAGGGGGTGTGGTGATAGAGGGCCGCACCTGGCAAAATAACACCACACTAAAAAAAACCCCTAAACAACCCCAATCACATAATGTTCTTCAGTTGGGTAACATGCAATTTCATGTAGATTTTTTTTCTCTTACCACATTATCTGCACATCAAGAAAACCAAATTAATTGGGGGAGGGGAGTGTGAGCTGCCACTTGGATGAGAACAACAACATATAAGGTCCAGCAGTACAAACAAGTTTAACATACCCTGCTATATACTGATGGAGAAGGGGGAGAAACGAAAAGGAAAACAATGTGCATTCAGGCACCTTAAAGCCCAAGAAATGTACATATTATCAGAGTTCCCCCCCAATCAAGCAGTATATAAATGGTATGAAATAAATAAACAAATAAGCAAGCAAGCTTTTGTTGGCTAAGGTCCACTTCATTACATGCCTGATCCAATGAGTCAAATGAAAAGTACAAACAATTATAATTACGTATTTGTCAGTGGCTATGCTCACGCACACACAAAACCCCCTGCTGTACTGATGACACAGACTATCCTGGCATTGGCTGGCCAGTGTGTACAGGTAGCGTGATAAAAATCCATTGTACCGAATCAATTCAGAAGTGACAGCACTTAACCTCATGATGTATTATATTGTGATGCAATCATTGCACATTGAACTCTCCCTTTGAAGTTCCTTTGTTCCAGTTTGGCCACTTTAAAGTCAATTACAGAATGTCCTGGGAAGCTGAAATGTTCCCTCAATGTGGGGTTGGGTGTTTTGGGGTGGTGTTTTTTTTGTATGTATTGCCGTTTCTAATGTATGCTTCTGTGCTTCTGTAAATAAGTGCTTAATTGTGATCCTACTGCTGATCAGTGCCGAGTGGGAGACAATAATTTGTCCAAGATCATCTGGACAAGGTAGTCAGGTGGCTCTGGAACAGCTGTGACTTTCACAACAGAAACACTGACTGACAGCTGCTTCCAAACATCTATCTCCAAAAGGCAGCCAGCCAGCTGACTGTTCTCATTGCCAAAGGAAAATGATAATTCCATATAATAAAGAAGGAAAACAAATCTGCTGGGTACTAAAAAGCTTAGGCTAAAATAACCATCAGTCAAAGTGATGTGCACAAAACTCTGGTGTTTATCGGCATAGGAGCATTAGTAGAAGCAGAACTTCCAACCCCACAGATGCTCTTCCAAAAAAGCCATGTTGCACGCCACCCCAATCACGGAGCTGTGTGAGATTCCAGGGGTTTGTGTTTCCTTTTGGAATAAGGCAGTGCCTTTGTGATATATGGTTTATTTACACATATATACAACCAGAGCCTATAATGGAGGAGTTCACAGCATTAACACCCCAAAAGGATCTTGATTCTCCCATAGTCACAGCCTTGGATTCAAACAGAAATAAAACATTGCTCTTAATCTCTCAGCTCAGGATTTGTCCTTCTAACTCTGTTGAGGGAGGGTCCCCACCCCCCACCCATTTGCTGTGTGACACAGAGCCCCTTTTCCTTTGTTCTCTTAATTGCCCATCATCACCCAGGCAATTATCTCAACACAGGAAGCTAAACTGGCTTATATTTTAACATTTGCTGGATCCAGGGGTTAGACGGATCCAGCATACAGTCTACTTCCTCCACCCCAAACTCATAACAGCTTTTAAACAGCGTTAAATATTGTAACTATTTGGACGTAGAAAGGGAAATGGGGCGATAATAAAAGATGCTTGATGTTAACCCCTAGTCTCACACAGTAATTTACACCCTGAGAACAAATATGAATGGCTTTATAATGAGAAAGGAAGCAACAGAATAATGTAAGGTGAAACATTTTGCCTTCTTAACTGTCTTCGCAGCAATAAAAACTAGGGATGGGAATACATTCCACCAGCTACTTCTTGTTGCCCTGCCTTTCACAAGCATCTTGGTTAAAGTTTTATGTAACCCTTTATTTGTGAAGAATTTATGCTGCCTAATGTAATAATAATAATAATCCATTTACGTAAAACAGTAAAACTTCAGTGATAACATTAAGTAAAAATTCCTAGCAACTAGATCAAAGCAATATAAGAACAAAGCAAAACTGAAGAAAATAGAGCAGTGTGCAAAACGGAAAATTAAAAATTAAGAGAGGAAGGTTCAAGTAAGCATAAATGTTTTTAAGAAGCATTTGAAGGTCATTACAAGTTATTCAAGCGAGGGCATTCCAAAGGGCAGGTCCTATCACCAAGAAGGGCCACTTGTGTGTTGTCACCAAGTGATAATCTGCTGGTTATGGAAGGACCATAAGAGTCTTTTCTGAAGACATTAAAGAACAGCTGGACCTGCATGGGGGGGAGGCAGTTTGCTAGGAATCCTGGTTGTTTTGGGGCTTTCATTGCCTGCAACAAAACCCTGGACTTAGTTCAGTTGCTAATAAGCAGCCTGGGCAGATTTTCAACACCGGTGTAACATGGGTAAAGCCAGGTGCCCCCCTAGCAACTGCCTTTTGCACCAGCTCCAGTTTCCAAACCAAACCTGAGGAGAGGCCCACTTACAGTACATTATAGCTATATAACTGTGAGCTTACCACCTTATGGGCCACCATGGAAAGGCTAGCGCTAAACGGCTGTTCAAGTCCTCACTGTGGAGATAGTTTAGTTCCTGGGTCAAGGGGAAGTACTTGAAGAGGGAACATCCTGTAGAGGAGAGGACAGGAAGTCAGTGTGGACCTGGAGCTGGGCTCCTTGTTTGCTGTACTGTACTTGAATGAAGCTGTTCAACTCTGACTTTACCTGCAGTCCATTCCTAAGGAAGGCAGCCCAGCTGGGCAACAACACACTCATGATTGTACAAACTACCCTGAAGTGAAGCACTTAGGAAACAAGTCTATTGACTACGGTACATATGAGGGCTCATCCACACATACCTTTTGCCCTGCTCTTTCCAGGCACAAGTTTAAAGCTGTGTGCCTGAGCGATTATTATCTTTTGCCGCAGAGCTTTCCCAGTGAAAACCCGCTCTTTACCACCCAATCGGAGCAAACGTCAGTTTATGTTTTCCAGAGAATGACGTTTGCTCTGATTGAGCTCTAAAAGGAGGGTTTGCACAGGGAAAGCTCTAGGGCAAAAAAACAAAAAACGTTCAGACACACAGCTTCAATTTGAAAAAACTTGCCTGCAAAACCCGTTCAGTAACAAAACCCCTAGCTTCTGCCTACACACACACACACACACACACACACACACACAGAGAGAGAGAGAGAGAGTGTGGTCTAATGGCAAGAGTGCTGAGCCAAGACCGGGAAGACTCAAATCCCCCACTTTCATGCCCATCTCATTTACGCCCTTCTCTTTCCTCAGATGTTTTCTTTTACCCATATTTGATAAGGAGGAATAAGGGATTTTCATTGACGAAAGGACACTCACAGCTTGATGTATCTGTTTTTTGTTGTAGAAGTTTCAAACCAGGGCAAAACATTTGTGTTGGACTTAGTTATCTGTACTTCATAGAGAGTAGGAGTGTTCCCTTTTCAGGAAGTGTGCATAAATATATGCACATTTAATATCAGAATTCTCATTAAATGCACTCATTTAGAGGGAAATGTTTACAAGGAAGAATTTTCAGGAAGAATTCACTGTTCTTCATGCAATACATAAATTCACTGTTCTTCATGCAATACATAAACAGTACTTATTATAGGGTATGGGTGGTGCTTTGGTCTAAACCACTGAGCCTCTGATCAGGCTTTCTGATCAGAAGGTCAGCAGTTTGAATCCGCGTGACGGGGTGAGCTCCTGTTGCTCTGCCCCAGCTTCTGTCAACCTAGCAGTCTGAAACCATACCAGCGCAAGTAGATCAATAGGTACTGCTGCGGCGGGAAGATAAACAGAATTTCCATGTGCTCCAGCACTCGTCACGGTGTCCCGCTGCGCCAGAAGCGGTTTAGTCATGCAGGTCACATGACCCGGAAAGCTGTATGTGGACAAACGCTGGCTCCCTCGGCCTGAAATGACATGAGCGCCGCACCCCATAGTCACCTTTGACTGGACTTAACCTTCCAGGGGTTCTTTACCTTTACCTTTACCTACATAAGCAGCACTGTACATGCAGTACATAAGGATGTTAACTAATCTTTATCTAGGCAACCTACATTAAAGAGATGAAACACTGAGATGTACAAGATCAAAGCAATGATTCCAGTACAGTGAAATTTAGTTAATAACCTTTCAATAATATAAATAAATATAGTAGCTCCCTTACCCTTTTAAAGAAAGGAGTGGCATATTTTTTACACACACACGTAGAATATTCAAGCATTCTGGAATGTGCGCTTGCTTTAGGTGACAAGGAAAACAGGGTTCTCCTGAGTCTCATGGGATTCAATGTGTAGGTGATGGCCAGCTCTCAACCAATCAAACACATTCAGATACTCCAGGGATTTCAGCTTACTGAGTTTCTGACATTAAGGGTTCTCAAGTACTTCAGTATTTGAGATTTCCATAGCGTGAAGAGTCAGAGCCATAGCAAAACAAAGTTGAATTGATTTTGAATGGAGAAAATCACCCCAAACTATTTAATTTGCATTTCCCAGCAATGTCAAATAATAAAGTGCAAATTTTGCTTCTCTTTCTATGGTCCACTTGCGACAATTTCACAGCTTTGTGACTTCTTTTACACAATTCATACTGACACATGTGATATTAATTTCCAGAAAGCAATGTCAAAAATATGTAGCATGTTTCCAAGCCAAATGAAAAAATGGGGATTAATTTCAGAAAGCCTCATTTCGTTTTACGTTAAACTGCATGACTAAGAATAATTTCTCATCTTTTTCACCATTAATATTCCGTCAGAACTCTGTAATTATTTGTTATGTTTGGTAGAAATATGACCCTTGTATTCCACTATGGGATAAATTTTACACCATTCATTCTTTTTAAGCTTTCTATGATTATTATTTTATTATACTGTAATTTTCTTTTTTCCAGTTTTTATGACTGCTTCTAAGTACAAATAGGGTGAACCTACAGAATCAGCAGCTCCCTGCAATCAGAACTTTGGAACATTCTTCTTTATTAGGGCCACTTTTAAGGAAAGGGCTGGTGCTGTGATGCTTTTATTGTTAATCTGTAAGTAATTTTTATATGTACCGTATTTTTCGTCCCATAGGACGCTCCGTCCCATAGGACGCATCTAGTTTTTTGGGGGGGAAATAAAGGAAAATTTTTTTTCCTTTCTTTCCCCCCCAAAACCAGGTCGGGGAAACCAAACCAGGTCGAGGAACAGTGGGATGGTGGCGCTGCGCCTCCCCGCTGTCCCCCAAGCTTGTGGGGCTGGCCGATGTCTGCCCAAAGCGCGGGCGCTCTGCTTCAGCGTGCCGCGCGCTCCGTGCAGCAGGGCTCCCCAGGCTGCGGATATCTGCCCGGCGTGAGGGGCGTTCTGCTTCAGGGCGCCCTGCGCGCCAGGCGGCAGGCTGCTATCCGCAGCCTAGGGAGCCCTACAGGAACTCCCGCGGGCTCCCCAGGCTTGCTGATAGCTTCCTGAAGCCTGGAGAACGAGAGGGATCGGTGCGCACTGACCCCGCTCACTCTCCAAGCTTCAGCGGAAGCCTGTATTCGC